TTTAATATTCCCGGGAAARAGCTCCAATATTCACTTTTTCCCTTTCGGTATCAATTTGAATTCCAAGGAATTCAAAACCACTTTCCTCCTAAAATATTCCTGCTGTTGTGCCAAGAATTCTCCCCATTATTYCAAATTTTAAGGCAACAGGCAGGAAAAAAACCCACAGAATTTTGTTCAAATCCTTGGGAATTACATTATTCCAAGTTAGTGGATTAGTCATTAATTATTTGTTAGTTACTTSCAATTAGGCAAAATTTTGGGAAAACTGGCTCCAATTTTTGAGTGTTTTGAGGTTRTTGCTTACTCCTGGTTGGCTTTTCCTACTAAAACAAAGCTCAGGAAAAACTGGGATTTAATTCTGAAAAGAAATCTCAGTTACTGGCAAATTAAACTAATTCAGCAATTAATTCAATTAATACAAATTTATCTGTGGCACACTGACAAATAAAATTCCCAGACAGCTGAAATATCTTCAAACGTTTGTAATTCCAAGAGTCCATGGAAGATTTTGGAAGCCACAGGCTCAAGACCTGACTCAAAATTTTAATTTTAAGTATCAGTTGAAAATTTAAGGCTTTTAATTTATATYTAAAATACAACTTAAATTTTATTGTTTTCATTTAAGTTTAAAGTTGAATTTAAATTTTATATATACATTATTTTTGCTTCTTGAATATGTCAGTAGGAACTTATATATTAATATATTCAATTTTTACCTTTTAAAATTCAAATTTACAGTTTAAAATATTAAATATTATATTCCAATTATCCCATTTTTAGGAATGGCAAAAGAAAATTTTCTTTTTTTCCTGTAGCTGTGAAACTTTGATTCAGCTAAAAATGCTTAAAAATTGAAAGTTTACACTTCAGAATTTAAAAAAAAAAGCTTAAAATTGAAGCTTATTTTGAATTTTTCCATTTATTTAGTGTTTTTCTCTTGTATTTTAAAAGCAATAAATTCTTGTTAGGACCTTGAAGTAGAAATAAATTTAACTACAGAAAAAAAATAATAAAATAATAAAAAACAAATATACAGTAATAAATGCAAATAATTGAAATTAATTCAAATTTAATTAGAATAAAGCAATTTTCCCACTAAATGTTAATTTGCCAGACTAGAAAAGGATTAAATTACATAAATTCCATGCATTGTGCACTAATTCCCTTCCACATATTCCCAAAGAGCAGCAGCCCGGGAATAGTGCAGCCCAAAATCCATGAAAAAGCAAAAAATCCCCACCAAAACCGCATCGGCAGGAAAATAAATTGAAAATTTTAGCAGAAATTGAGAATTTTAAGCAGAAAAACCCATTTCTGCATTTTCTGACCAATTTCTGCATTTCTGACATGATCTGCTTGTCCCAAAATTCCCATTTCTGTGAGTYATCTCAATGAAAAATGGGATACTTCAATGGGAATCCTCTATTACTCTAACTGCCTCAAAAAGAACCTCCTGTAGATGTAAAAAGTTGATATTTATGGGTTTTTTTCCTTTGGCTATGAGGGATTTTGCACCAAAAAAAACCCCAAAAAATATGGGGTTTATTACATTTTAAAATTATTTATTCTCCCTTTTTAATTAGAGATGAATTTTCAAAAAAAGCTCCTAAAACTGGTGGGATTTTTTTTCTTTTAATTCTGAGAGATTTTGCATAAAAAAATCTTCTCACATTTAAGTTTTTTTTTTAAATCAAATTTTTTAAATTTTTTAAATTAAATCAAAAAATTAATATTTTTTCCAGTTATTTAATATATAATTTTTTTTCTCAAAAGATAATTTTGCTCCAGTTTTGAAGCAGTTCCAAGCACTGGAATTGCAGCCCCCAAGGATAAGGTGAATTATGGAGTAGGAATTTCACAGGGATTCTATAGTCAAGAATTACAAGGAGATTAACTCCAATCAAGAACAAAAAAAAGAACTTTTGTGACAGAGCTGAAGTTAATTTAAAAAACCCTTTGAAATTAATTATTTCCACAAAAACTGCAATAATTTCTCTAATAAATATCCCAACAATGTTAATATCCCTAAATTTCCCAGAATTCCCAAAAAGCCACACAAYAATTAGAGGATACTTACTTTTTTAGCTCCTATGACAGCATTAAAAAAACCAGGATAAAATTAGAGACAAATTCGAATTTCTACAGATGCAACAGCTCCTCAGCCAAGTAATTTAATTAATAATTAATAATAGATTAATTAATTAACATATTCAATTAAGTTTAGTGCTGATGAACTTTCCAGAACTGCATGAAGTTTGTGAACCAACACTGCGGAAAACCATTCAATTTTCATTTTAAATAACAAGGAAAAGAGCATTATTATGTTATCCAAAAGGATTTTCCCATCCTGACAGCCTGAGAATTTCCAACCTGCCATCCCARTCTTGGCATGTGTTGGTGAAACTCAGGATCACAATTTTTGGGTGATTTAACACTAAAATGATTCCAAACATTCCTGCAGCACCTTTTTGTTTCCATAAGCAGTCAAACYTTATGTTTAGTCCTAATAAACCCCRGATTWACAAGAAAATAAAACTTCTAAACAAGGAAAAATTSGGGAAAAAAGTGATTTGTCTTCTGTGTCCATCAGTTTGCCTGGAGGAACCTGAGAAAAAGGGATTTTAAGCACACAAACCATCACCTTCCGACATTTTCCATCCAAAATTGCCATTTTTACCTGTGACACATTCCAAAAGCTCCACATTCCAAAAAARCACAACAATTCCCACCTTTGATCACCTAAAAACACAACTTTCTGCTCCCAGCTGCTGATTCCTAAGAAGATGATTCATAATATGGGAAATCAGCAGTAGGGAAAGACAGGGAACGTGTCACCTTCAGGAGAAATAGGAAAAAAAAAAAAAAGTTGGAAATTAACAGCTCAGGTGAGGAGAAGTCCTACCTGAAGGTCAGGGAGAAATGGGACACCTGGAAAAGATAAAAATTACAGCCAGACAGCTCAGGAAAAGGGAATTTCTCCTCCCTAAGGATTGTGATCATCAGGATCCAAATCAATTCCAAATCATCAGTGACCTGGATGCGACAGAACAAATCCATATGGGATTTCTGGGAACACCAGTGTGGCAGCCTCAGCAAGTTTAGTGAGGGATTTAATCCTTCAAAAACCTCATGGAACACAACAGCAGGCTCTGCTTGTTCCCAAAATAGTTTGGAAATGGATCCTCCCGCTGGAGCATGGAGACAAAAAACAGGGAGAGGMCAAGCCCCTCCAAGGTTAGGGAAGCTTGGGAACAGAAACACAAGGAAAAGAGGGACAGGTGAGATAAGCAGAGCCCAGGTGCACCTGCAGGAGCTGATTTTCCACAGCTCCCAGCTCTAGGATAAGTTTGGAAAGGCAGCCAAGGGGGCTGGGATATGGGATGGATCAGCTGCTCCGTGCCAGGACACSGCAGCAGCTCCAGTTTCCCTTTGCAGCAAGTGACTGGACAAAAAATCCAAGAAATGGGGGGAGGAGCAGATCCTCAAAGCAGCTGGAGCAGCTGGAGATGTGCGGGACCCCTAAATTCCCTTCCCTACCAGGGCAGGAATAACACTGAGCCCCTTCCCTCCCACCCAATCCAGACTTGAAGAAGTGAGGCTTTATCAGGAATATTTCAAAAAAAACAGGGAATATGTCCCCACAAGCCGTGGAAAACCACACAGGTTTAATGAGATCCCCAGCACAAGCCCACCCACCCCTTACCTGTAACAGGGAGTTCCTAAATTCTGGGAAAGGAAAGAGACCCCAAAATAGGGAAAATCCTAAAATCCCCCCTTTTCTGTGCCTGGTAGGGGGAAAGGGATCTCCCAGATAATGAAAGGGATATCCCACATCCTCCTTTTTGGGGTATGAGGGGATGAGAGACCCCACAGAGAATGTGAAGGGGGCTTACACATAGTCCTTAATTAAGCAAAAAGGAACCTAAAACATTGGGAGGGAAAGTGTCACTACAACACTCCCTAGGATTTTAAGTGGGGAAAGTAATCAAAAAAAAAAACAAAGGCAACAAATTCTTTCCTTCAGGACCCCTTCCCCCATGACCCCCTTGCCAGACCTACTCAGGGAAAAGGGATCAAAGACTTTGGAGAATTTGCCACACTACTCTCTGGGACTTCAAGTGGGGTAAAGTTATCCCAAAAACCAAGGGCACCTGAAATCCTTTCCTTCAGAACTCTGGGGGCATGGAAAGGACCCCACAGGGAATGGAGGAATCCCCCAAATTCTCTTCCTTGAGGTTTTAACAGTGTGAGAGACCCCTACATAAAAGGGGAGCCCCCCGCAATTCTCCCTTTTTCACCCCTGTAAGGGAAGGAGCCCCATTCCCAACGAGGGGATCCCCAAATCCCTCTTTCCATAGGAAAAGTGCCCTAAACAGAATAAAGGAGGTAATGACAATATCCTTCTTGGAGATTCTGAGATGACAAAGGGACCTGACAGACCGTGAAGGGCCCTCTGAGCACCTTTCCCCCAAATATCATCAGGGGCCCCCCACCTCCCGCCCCAGAGGTGTAAAGGACGCTCTGGAAACCCCCAAAACTCCCACTACCGAGCCTCAGGGAGGGAAATAAARGACCCTAAGTGGGGGCATAAGCGTTCCTAGGAGCTGGAAACGGCTGGAAACCATGACTCACCAGCCGCGTTGACCCCTGAAAGCCCCTCAGCTCCCTTTGGCCGCCGCCGGGATAAAGGAGGGCGGCGTGCGCCGCGCGGAGGCTTATGGGGGCGGCGCGTACCACACGTGGCGCCTGGGGGGTGGCATAGGGGGTATGCTGTGGAGAGACAACGTGTCGCACGCACAGAGCAGAGCCTGTCCCGCTCTCACAACAAAAGGRACGTGTGGGACATCACGAGGAGTGAAAGCGAGATGCGCGAACCACCCCCGTAGCTATTAGGTTGTGACGTGCCCCCCCTTTTTATTGACAAGTTGGATTCGTCCTCGTGCCTCCGCCAGCGCCCGTGGGTTGTACCACTCTGGAAAAAGGGGGGTGCGCCACCTCGCTGTGTCTCCCGCGCCGCTTCCCTCCCTCCCCGGGGATGTTCCCCTAAATTTTATGGAGGGAGTTACGGGGAGAGGGAGGACCCTGCGGTGTGCATGCGGCGCGTTGTCTCCCACCGCGCATCGCTTCTCCCTCCCGTGAAAGACAAGTGGAACAGCTCAGGAGGAAAAGCGGCGTGAGGCGGGGGGACTGCGCGGTGGCGCTTACCCCCTTTTACGCAGCGTGGTACAACCCGCAAGCGCTGGTGGAGCTAGGAGGAAGAATTCAACTTGGAGAGAAAAAGGGGGGGTTAGAGGCACAACTTAGTGGCTGTGAGGGGGTGCGCGCATGCGGGGGACCGGAGCGGAGACAAAGGCGCCGCCGCGCCCCCCCCCACCCCATCCCCGCATCCCTCCCCGGTTATAACGCGCCCCCCATTCCCATGGATGTGGGGGTCGCCCCATGCCCGGGGGGGAGCCGGAGGAGGGCGGGGGAATGGCGGGAGGGCGGCGGGCAGCCGGAGGAGGAGGTGGAGGCAGCAGCGCATCACCCGGGGGGGTGTCGGTGAAGATGTCGCTTCGCCGCGCCTACTCCATCAAGGACAAGCTCCAGGCCATCGAGAGGGTGAAGAAGGGCGAGCGCCAGGCGTCGGTGTGCCGGGCTTTCGGGGTGCCGGGGGGCACGCTCAGGGGGTGGCTGAAGGACGAGGCGAAGCTCCGCTGGTTCCTGGAGCAGCTCGGCGGCGAGGTGGGCACCCAGCGCAAGAAGATGCGCTTGGCCAACGAGGAGGAGATCGACCGAGCCGTCTACGCCTGGTTCCTCGCCCTGCGCCAGCACGGCGTCCCGCTCTCCGGACCCCTCATCCARGCGCAGGCGGAAGCCTTCGCCCGGCAGATCTACGGGCCCGAATGCACCTTCAAGGCGAGCCACGGCTGGTTCTGGCGGTGGCAGAAGCGCCACGGCATCTCCAGCCAACGCATCTACGGTGAGGGCGGCCTCCCCGCCGAGCCCGAGCGMGCTCCGGCCGCCCGCGCTGAGGTCCTGCCCGACGCCGGCGGCTACGGGGACGAGCAGATCTACAACGCCAACATCACCAGGCTCTTCTGGAAGCTTCTGCCCGGTGCCAGCATCACGGCGAGGCGGCGTCCGGCCCGTGGCGAGCGCGTCACCGTGCTGCTGGCTGCCAACTTGACCGGCTCCCACAAACTCAAGCCCTTGGTGGTCGGGGCTCTCCGCGATCCCGCCAGCCTCCGGCATCACAATCAGGAGAAATTCCCGGCTTGCTACCGCTACAGCCCCGAGGCCCGGCTGGCGCCGGCGCTTCTGCGAGCTTGGTTCTTCGAGGACTTTGTGCCGGGCGTCAAGCGGTACCTGCGCCGGAGCTGCCTGCAGCAGAAGGCCGTGCTGCTGCTCAGCTCCGCTCCGTCCCGTTCTGGATCGGGGGCTGAGGATTCCCCACCGCTCCAAACTCCCGATGGGTCCATCCGTGCGCTTTTCCTCTCCAAGGCTCCCACCGGGAGCGGCTTGGCCGGAGCGGGAGGCCGAATCCCGGCGCCTCTGGAGCAGGGKGTGGTGTCGGCCTTCAAGCAGCTCTACAAGCGGGAGTTGCTGCGCTTGGCCGTGTCCTGCGGCGGCCCAGGCGGTCCCRCGGACTTTGTGCGCTCTTTCCTCCTCAAAGACATGTTGTACCTGGCTGGCCTCTCCTGGGATCTCATTCCGCCCGGATCCATCGAGAAGTGCTGGCTGCTGGGGCTGCGCGCYGCCTTTGAGCCCCAGCCCGGCGAGGAGGAGCATGGGGACGCCACGGGAGGGGAGGAAGGTGGAGGGGACAGCAAGGTCTTCAGTGACCTCACCCACTTGGCCGCCTTGGCCTTCAAGCGCTTGGCTCCCGAGGAAGTGTCCGACTGGTTGCACTTGGACGATGCTGCTCCAGGCGTGGAGGAGGACGATGGTGGCGAGGAGGATGCTGGGGAGGAAGGCRSCGAGGGCTGTGGGGTGGAYGAGGAGGAGGAGGAGGAGGAAGCAGCTGGTGGCAAAAGGAGTGGGGAAGGAGGAGATCCTTTGCTGCCCACGGCTCGGGAAGCCATCCAGGGTCTGGAGACGGCGCTGCGCTGGCTGGAGGGACAGGATCCCCAGGAAGTGGGGCCGCTGAAGCTGGTGCAGCTCCGCTCCCTCATCTCCATGGCGCAGCGGCTGCACCACRGCCGCAGCCCCCAGTCCTAGGGCAGAGCCAACCCCTGCTTTTTGGCTACCAACACCCCCTGGTTGGCCACAGAGCTTGGGACACCCAGGTTGTCCCAGGGAGATGGCGGTGGAGATGCCCCTTACTCCTCTGTGACTGTGATTCCCTGGGGATCAGGAAGCCCAGGCGTCTGTGGGTCACAATTTAGGGGATTTTTGTGCAACAACTCGAGTTCCAGGGTTGTTCCTCACCTAAATATATTTAGGAGGTGCTATTTTTTACATCCCATGTGGCCCCTAGTCAGTGACACTGCCCGAGGGGGAGTGGATGCCCCCAAAAATTGCCCTGTCCCTGCAATACTATGGGGAGAATGGGTGAGAGAAGGACCTGCTTGGTGTCACCAGAATGATGGGGGATGTACAAATTCCCCAAATCTCAGAGTAGGGCCGAGGTGGGAACATCTAGCTGGAATCCAGCTCCTGAGATGCTGYAGGGAAAATATTCCACTTTAGAAGAGGCTGGTAACGCCCTTCCCACTGCTGAAATACAATCCTATTAAACCAGGATGATTTGGGGCTGATTTAAGACATCTTCCATCATGCACTGGATTGGGAAAGGGACACTTGGGTGGCATCCACGAAGCTGCAGCTCCCCGGAGAGGGTCACCTTCATTTCCATCATAGCTGGGAACACCTGGACCATGGAAACCTGCTGAACCAGGTAGCATCATCCCAGCATCCTCATGAAGCTGAAGGCTCCAGGTATGGGGTTTGAGATGTTCCCCATGGGGTTTGTGTGGTGGCCGGGGCTGGAGAACACATCTCAGTGAGCTGAGGTTGGAGCAGGGAGGGCTCCTGGCACTGCCTTGGGATACTGGAGGCATCTGATAGGAATTTAACAGCTCTTGACCTGATTTGTTTGAAATTTTAGTTTTTAGCCAAATTCTTGGAAGAGGAAAATAAAATTAACTCCTCAATGCTGCCGTGCCCCGTGTCAGCAAGTGGGTGGGGGTTTTTACTTGTTGGGTCTTTGTCTCCTCACTGCAGAGTTTATGGAAATTAAATGGATTTTTATTCCCACCTGGAGGTTGTTGTCTGTGAACTGTCATGTGGAGCCCTCCCAGAGGGATTTGGGGTGGCACCAGGGGGACTTTCATGGGGTTATGTCTTCTCAATGTGGTCTTTTCCAGACCAATGGGTTGTAATCCTATAAAACAATGTTTCTGTTTATTTTTATCATCTTTTGCACCAAAAAAATCGCCCCACAAAAGAATTTTGGAGCTTGGAATGTGGCTGATTWCAGACAGAATTTTGTGAATTAAAGGAGCTCAGGAGAAGGTGCTGGGCTGGAGGTCTCTGACCTGGTTTGGGGAGCTGGGAATATCAGATCATGGAATTTGGGCTGGAAGGGACCTGCAAGGCCATCAAATTCCAACCCCCTGCCATGGGCAGAGACACCTTCCACTATCCCAGGTTGTTTCGAGCCAAATCCAACCTGGCCTTGGACATTTCCAGGGATGGAGCAGCCACAGCTTCTCTGGGAGTTCCATTCCAGGGCCTCACCACCCTCAGAAGGAAGAATTCCTTCCCAATATCCCATCTAATCCTGCCCTCTGGAAGTGARAAGCCATTCCCTCTTGTTCTATCACTTCATCCCTTATCCAAAGTCAGGGCTCAGCATCCAGATGTTTCCACCAGCGCTGTTTTGCCCAGAAAAAAACCTTTTCATCCTTAAAGCAGTTCCCAAATCATCGCTAATTGCATCCGCGCAGGTGCCGGGAGGCAAATGGAGCTTAATTAGGGCATGGAAAAGGCTTAGATCCTAAAAAATTAAACTAAATTTCTACCCTCTGGATGTCCCCGGAGTTGGGAGCAAGTCTGGGTTTCCATCCCATTCTCTTGGTGACAGGAACAGGATTGTGGCAGATTTTTTTTTGGCTGGTTGACCACTTGCCCGTCCTGGAATGTGGGCAGAATCCTCACAGATGTGGCTCAGACTACAGGGATGTGGCCACTCTCCTAGCCCCAGGAGGCTCTAATTGGGGTCATCCCATCCCCAAAAACCTGTCCCCAGTGCCACACATCCACAGGGACACCAGCTTCATTCTTGGTGACCATGGCACCAACGTCCTCCCAATGAGCACGGAGCCAGCATGGCACCAGCACTGTCCCAGGAAACCATGGCTGTCTCCTCCCCACGGAAAGTGACCCCACGGTGGCTTCCACAGCCCCCTGGGACCAAAGGGACCACAAAAAGCCACACCCCCATAGCTCTGGCCACGTTTATTTGGTTCCAGCCCTGCAGAGGTAACACATATCCACGCCACCTCCCACCCCAAGGGTGTCAGGATTGCCCCCTATTCCTCAGAGGAGCTYGCTTTGGTCCCCATCACCCCTCCTGTCCCAAAAAGGGGCTTGTCCACTAGTCCTTGGCCATGTCACAGGCCCGGTTGGTGGCCGCCTCCACAGCGTCCATGACAGTGGCCCGGAGCGCTCCCTTCTCCAGCTGGTGCAGGGCGTAGATCGTGGTGCCCCCGGGTGTGCAGACGTCCCCCCGCAGCTTTGCCGGGTGCTCTCCCGTTTCCAGCAGCATCTTCGCCGCGCCCTACGGGACACTGGGATGTGACCTCCCAAACCCCACTCTTGGATGGCACCGCCATCACAACGCCCCCATGGCAAGGGACTGTCCCACCACCATGTCTGTCGCCCTTCTGGGGCCTCATTTTTGCTTCCAAGAGGGGAAACTGAGGCAGAGCAGCATCCAGCACCTCCTCCCTCATCCCAAGGGATGTTGTGGTGATGCCTGATGATTTTTGCCTTTTCTGTTTATATGCTTTTATATATTTTAAATACTCTTTTAGGTATTTTCTGTACTCTTTATGTATTCCTTGCACCCTTAGCCTGCACACTTGTAATTTTTGTAGCCTGATATTCCAGCTCAGTTTTAGGGTTCTGCTGGGCAGAAAGACCAAACACCCTCAGTAGGAGGCTGGTGAGCTCTGGGCTATCTCAAAACTTCTTTCTGGAACATATTGTGTAAACTGGGCTCTGGCCTCACCTGGGGCAGGGATTCTTTAGAGTAAGGGGACATTACTTCAATTATTAAGTTTCTTATCAGGGCATTCTAGACAGATATGCTAATTTGTGAGGTCTATAAAAAATTGTTATATGGGGGATGAATCTCAGCTTGAAGAGCTGTGYCCCTACAATCCTATTAAAATACCAATGTAAAACCCTTTTATCCCCTCCGCTCCATGCACCCAAAATTCTAAACCAGCCAAGAGGCAACAGCAGAGCCCAGGGATAGGAGGGGAAGGAAGCAATGCTCAGGGACAGGAGGGGAAGGAAGCGATGCCGGGGTGTCCCCGGGACTCACCAGCAGCGTCTGCGCCGCGATCTTGCTGGCCAAGGCGCCCGGCATTCCCATYTTCACCGCGCCCTCGGCCAGCGCCTCGGCAAACAGGTACACCTGGGGAGAGAGGGACATCCAGGGTGAGCCTGGAGCAACAGGGGATCCCAAATCCCAACACAGCATCCCGCTGGCTTACGTAGGCCACGCCGCTGCCGCTGAGCCCGGTGTGGATGTCGATGTAAGATTCGGGAACCTCCTCGCAGAGGCCGCAGGAGGACAGGAGGCTCTTGAGGAGCGCGGCTTCGTCGTCACCCGCGTTGCTGCCCCGGGAGAAGACCATGGCCCCTGCCTGCACCACGCAGGGCAGGTTGGGCATGATCCGCAGCACTTTGGTCCAGGGTGGGAGGAGCTGGGAAAAGATGGGGATGGGAGAGRGGGTGCCAGCCCTGGGAAGTACCCAAGGGTGACCTGAGACACCGGTGGGTGTCACCCTTCAGGCTGGTGGAGAAGCCAGGAGCACGGGGAGGGAGCTGGAGGTGAAGCCAGGAGGGGACAAGGCCACAGTGGAGTGTCCTTCATGGGCCTGGGTGCAAATGGAGGAGGAGGAGGAGGAGAAAAGGAAGAAGAGAAGAATGAGAGGAGGAAGAGGAAGAGAAGGATGAAAAGGAGAAGGGGAGAAAGAGAATGAGAGGAGGGAAAAGGAGAAGGAGGGCGAGGAAAAAGAATGGAGGAGAAAAGGAGGAGGTAGAAGAGGAGGAGGAAATAGAAAGGAGAGGAGAAGTGAGAGGAAAAAGAAGGAAGAGGAGAAGGAAGAGGAAAAA